GGGTAGGGGGGGCTGGGCTTGGCCATGCCCTTCCAGGGGCCATTACCCTGCTGTACCATAGCTCCAGCTGCTGGCGCAGGCGCCAGGCTGCCCCATCCCCCAGCCACCCTATGCCTGCATGACCACTGCTGTAGAGTAGCCAGCCTGTGAGTCGTGAGCCTGTGTGATTGTTTTCACCTAGGAAGCTTCCCTCTCTCCTGCCCTGGCTTGATGTGATGCTCTAACACAGCAAGAAACACACTCCCTATGAGGGTCCTGGATCAGCAGGTGCTGGGAGTCGGGGCAGGGCAGCTGTAGGAGACGCATGCGCTGTGTTGTGATCTTCCTTAAAGGCAAAAGACCCCCCTCCCCCCAGTGCAGTGAATTGTTGTAACCTGTTTTTAACCTGTCCTTTGCTGTCTCGTGACCCAGCCCATCATGTGCCCCTCGGCCTTAGTTGGGGGGGGTCTGTACCTTATTCACTGTGGGCCAGGGATAGACACAGGCTGGGGCTTGGATCTCATGCCTCAGCAGGCGCTTGGCTGAGGTCCTGCCATGGTGCGCAAATCTATTCCAGCCCTGGGTGGTCTTAATGGCTGCAGGTTGGTGCCCTTGGGATCCCAGGTGGGTGTGGGGGTGGAGTTTATTTTACTATTAATTGGTTACCAGGCAGAAGGCAAGGGGGGGGGGGGGTGGGGACGCACTTTCATGGAGGAAGGGGATTGCAAGGAACTGCTGCTGCTGGGAGAAGTTGATCTGGTGCAGCCAGGATCAGCGGGGTAGGTGATGGCATCTACAGGGGGAAGAGAAAATCTATCCCCACTGCATCCTGCCCCACGGGGAAGCAAGAGAGATTTCCAACTCCCAGTTGGCCTCGCCCTGTGTCAGCAGTAGGGTGCTGGTTTCCAGGCAGGGGCAGATACTGCCTTCCTCTGACCCTGGTCTCCTCGTACTGGAACAGCCATCAGCAAGGGGAACCGCCACCAGCCCAGTCCAGTGCCTGTCGAGAAGACTCCCTGTCCTGGGCCCACATATGAAAAGAACCACAGGCCACAGCCACTGATGCATTACAGGGGCCCTGTGGGGCCCAGGCTTCATGGCTTCCCTCCCTACACTGGGGCAAACACCCCCAGGGCCTTTGCTGCCTCTGAGGGGGCCTCTGCTTCTTAGCAAGGACCTCTCTTCTTTTTAAAGCATTCCCATTGGGTTCTGTGCTCTCTGTTCCTCTCTGCGGAAGACCGATGCCTCCAGTGAGGGCTGCCTCTCCTGCTCTTTTGAAATGCATGAGCCCAGGGGCCACAGCTGGAGGCTGCAAGTCCCCCTTTGCGCCGGTGACGTCTTGGCGCCTTGTCCTGGATGCCTGCAGCTCCCCATGCACCTTTCGTGCCAGTGCTTCTCGCTTGCGCCTCCTGGATCCATGTCGTCGTGGCTGTGCTGTGCATTCTCAGTGGTGATGCCCCTTGTGCCCCATGTTGCAGCCGCTACTTGCACCTTGCTGGAATGAGGTTTCTCTCATTTTATGTATAATTTTTTTTTTTTTGTCTACTTATGAAACGGAACAAGCCTGAGCCACTCCTTTGTCTGCCTGGCTTCTTTTCCCTGCCCTCCAAGGCTTCAGTTTGGGGCTGAAACTAGGCAGTGGGCTGTAGTTAATAGCGGGATCTGTCTGTCTTTTCCTGCTTCAGATTTATAGCAGGAGGGAGCAAGGTTGGAGATAAAGAGGTTTCTGTTCCTCATGGGAGTTCCCAGGGTGGGGGAAATCTCCTTCCTAAGAAGCGAGCAGCAGGTTTGGCAAGAGTGGATCCTGTAGAGGGAGAGACTGAACTGGGACTGTAGTGATCTATCCCCTATTCAATATCAGATCTCTCTCCTGTGATCTCTTCAGAGTATTGATAGGGGTTAGAGCTAGAGTGATCCATCCCCTATTCAACATCCTTCCTCCTCTCTAATGTTAGAGGTACCAAAGGAAATGTCTCCAACTGCCCTGTTCAATAGCCGTTAATAGATATCAGCCGTGAATTTATCCAGTCCCTTGTTGGCCCTGGCTCTGCCTCCACTCCCTCCTGTGGTAATGAATTCCATGCAGTGGGTAATCTTCCCTCCCCAACCTTTTCTCCTTATTTTGGTTTAAGCTTGGTTCCCATTCATTCCCGTAGGTGTCCCCTGGTTCTAGCATCCTTGGACTTGGGGGAACAACAGGTCCCTAGTTACTTGGTCCATAGTCTTTGTGCCTATGGAGTTCTGTCCTATCTCCCCTCAGCCTGCTCATTTCCAAATGCAAAATTCCTGAGCTTTCTAGCCTCTCCTGATCTGGCAGCAGTTCCAGGCCCCTGATTGGTGGCTGTTCAGTCAATCAGGGTTGGATGCCAGGTCCCCCCTGGGTTGGGGTGCTCTCTAGATTTGGGTGGGGGTCCTCAACCCAGTGGGATTCTAGGCTCTGCAGGGCTCGTTTGGCTTTCATGCCTCCTTTGGGGATGGAGAAAGCCCAGGGCGGCTCTTGTGGGGCAAGGGGTAGGGTGGCTTCTTGGAGCCTGAGAGTCGTGCCTGGCTGTGTGAGTGGCATAGACCCCTGTACCCCACTTTAAAGACTCGGGCCTGGTTGAGAATAGCTGCTATGGCTCCACGTCTGTCCCCTGCGGACGCTGCTTCTCTTCGTGCCTGTTTCCCTGGGAGTGGGGCTCCCCGTCCCTTCCCCTGGTAAATGAGCTGTGCTGTTGATGTCAACCCAGGTCTTACGAAGACAGCACCGGAAAAAGATTTGGGGGGGTTATGCAGTGAGGTGTGTAGTGACGTCATGGCCTATAAGAAGACCGCGCGCTTGGAGCAGTTTGCGGGGGTCACGTGATGCGGATGGCAAAGCCACCTTAAGAGGAGGGACTTCCGTTGGCCGGGCCGTAACGTCACTTTCGGGCGCCGGAAGCAGGCTCTGCCGTGGCCTTGGCGACGGGACGCGACGGGCCCGGAAGTGGTGGGGCTGTGACGGGGTAGGACCGGGCTTGGGTGGGGTTAAGGAGCACGGGCCCCTGTGATGTGCTGGGGCCTGGGACCGTAACCGGGGGTAGACGAGGTTCCAGGGAGCTTCTGGGCTGGGTCAGGGCCTCCACTTATGGCCAAAGTCCCAGTGGCCCCTCGTGGGCTAATGCAGGGGGCTGGGGTCAGTCACTTGACGGGGTTCCCTGGGCTCAGGCAGAGCCCCAGCTACGCCTAATGTCCAGAGCTGCCTGCAGCATCTGCTGGGGCCCTTGAGCCATGGAGCTGGTGCCTACTGATGACCCCCCTGGCTCAGACAATGACTCAGACACTGAGGCCAGGCCTGACCCAGAAGCACAGGCCCGTGCGTACGTCGCCCGGGTGCTGGAGTCCCCCCTGGCACCCCACCCAGCTCCCCCTGACATAGGGAGCAAGGCCCGGGCACCTGCCCTCCCCCAGCCAGAGCTGAAGAAGTCCCCAGGCGGGGCTGAGGCGGTGGAGGGGGGACTGCTGGGGCTGCCCCTGGAGCTCATCCTGGAGATTTGCTCGTACCTGGAGCCGCGTTTCGTGCTGGAGGTGCTACCCCGTGTGTGCCGGGTTCTGCTGGGTGTCGTGCGGGACACAGTTACCTGGCGCATCCGCGTGCAGAAGAGGGTCTGTGCCAGCTACCCTGTGGTGGAAGGTAGGGCCCGGACGCTTGGGTTCTGTCCCTGCCCCCACTGCTGCTGGCTCTTTGAGGCTGCAGAGTTGGTCCCCTATCCCCTTTTCCAGTCTTCTAGCCTGGTTAGTGGTTAGAGTTGGGGTGGGCTGGAGCCCAGGTACCTGGGTTTCCTCTCCAGCTTTTAGAGGAGTGTGGTGGGTTGGGACCCAGGATGCCTGGATTCTGTCACCTCTCTAGGATAGAAAGGTGGGCTAGTGGGTTACAACAGGGTGCTGGGAGCCAGGACTCTGGGGTTCTGTGAGGCTTGTCTGGTGGATTAGAGCAAGAAACAGCCTCCCTATGGAGCTGAGATTAGAAAAGTGTCTGGTGGATTAGAGCTGAGACACCTGGGTTCTATCCCCAGCAATGGAAGGGGAGGGAAATCTGGGTGGTTGGATCAGCAGGGTCTGGGAGCTTAACAGCCCTAGCGTGAGACTGGCCTGGCTCGCATAGAGGACCCCAACAGCTTCTGCGCTCCCTCTGGCCTGCAGAGGATGACTTTGACTGGCCGGCAGCCTGTGTGGAGCTCGAAGAGCACCTACAGCACTGGGGGGGAAGCGGACACTGCACCCAGCACTTCTCCCTTGCTGATGGCCACTTCGCCTCTGTTGACTCTGTGCTGCTGCTGCAGGTGATACTGGGGCTAGGACACCTGGGTTCTCTTCTCTGACTCTTGCCTGCTGGGAGTGATGGGGGTTGGCTGGGATCCCGGACTCCTGGATTCTCTTCTCTGACTGACTCCTGGCTGGTGACTGAGGAGCCACAGGAAGCTCTTTACAGGCCTTAGCGTCTCCAAAGCCCTCTTCCCACTCCAGCCTCCACTCCCCCCACAGAGGAGAGGAAAGAACCCAGGCATCCGGGTTCCCACCCCCCACCCTGCCTTAACCTCTTGAGCCCCTCTACTCTTCTCTCAGAACTACAGAATGGATCCCAAGTGTCTGCCCCTGCACCCCCACCCCACTCCAACCCCCACAGCCCCCACTCCCCCTCTCAGATCAGGGGCTAGAATCCAGGTGTCCGGGCTCCCAGCACCGCACTGGCCTTGCCGTAGTCACCCCCCTCCCCTTCCAGGGCGGAGATCTCTGTGTCTCAGGTTCCCGTGACCGCAATGTGAAGCTGTGGGACCTGCGGGAGCTGGGCCGGGCACCTGACAAGGTGCTGCTGAAGGCACTGGGCACTGAGCGCAACGGGACACACAAGGTGGGCAACCCCCTCCTCCCCCGCCTGAGCCTGGCTCCACACTGCTGCCTCAGTTTCCACTAGAGGCGGCAGTCACCCTCCCTCTCCCTACAGGGCTGGGTGTGGTCTCTGGCTGCCCAGGACCACAAGGTCTGCTCAGGCTCCTGGGACAGCACTGTAAAGCTGTGGGACATAGAGGCCGATGGGCAGCAGTTTGGGGAGATCAGGTACTGGGGAGAGCTTGGGGGGTGCACACGACTTTATGGGTCGTGGCTGTACCCCCACATAATGCCCATTCACTTGTAGGGGCAAGGCGGCGGTGTTGTGTCTCTCCTACCTGCCTGACATCCTGGTCACCGGCACCTATGACAAGAAGGTGACAATGTATGACCCCCGAGGTCAGTGCCACGCCCCACCCCACCCCAGTTGTAAAATGGGCCCCATCACTGAAGCTGCCCTAGTTGGGACCTCTCTGTAGGAGCCAACTTCTCCTTGGGCTGGAGGGGAGCAGTCAGGACTCCTGGGTTCTGTCTCCAGCTTCCATGAAAGGGATGGGGTTTTAGAGTGGCTGGGGGCTGTAGGGGCCCAGACTCCTGGGTTCTCTGGGCATGGCAGCTGGCTTATACTTACACCTGGTTCCTCTCTACAGCTGGGTCAGGAATTGGGAGCCTGTCTCTCCTAAAGTCAAGGGAGCGCCCTCAAATTGGGGGGGGGGGGTCAGAGCTTGACAGGCCATGGTGAATGTTGAGATCCCCCCCCTGTGTGGGGGTTCTGGGGGGCAGATAATCCACCCCCCCACACACACACCTCTGATCAGGTGCTGGGGGTCCTGAGGCTAACGCTGTTCCTCCTACAGCCGCCCAGGCCCTGGTGAAGAGCCGCAGGCTGCACTCGAGTGCTGTCCTGTCGCTGGCAGCTGATGACCGCTTCATCCTATCGGGCAGCGAGGACCGGACCCTTGTAGTCTTCGACCGCCGTGCTGCTGCTGTCTTACAGCGACTCCAGGTAGGGCCCGGATACCTGGCCCCTGGCGGGGAGGGGCACCTGCTGCTGAGGGGGCGGGAGTTCACAGATGCTTCCTGGTTGGTGGGAAAGGAATCTAATGAGCAGGGGCCCCCCAACCCAGCTGGTGGGTGGGGGTGGGGGAGGGGGCCCCTGCTCATTAGATTCCTTTCCCACCAACCAGGAAGCATCTGTGAAACTCCTGGGTTTCATCTCCAGCTCTAGGTGAATTTAAAACAGTGGGATGTGGGCCAGGACTCCCCAAGATATGGGAGAAAGGTGTCATCAGGGCTGAGAAGGGGCTTGGAGCCTGGACACCTGGATTCTATCCCAGCATTGGGAGGCTAGTGGGGGTGGATGGTGAGCAGAGGGTGGCTGGGGAGCCAGGTCTCCTGTGTTCTGTTACTGTCACTGATGTACCGTGTGGATGTGGCTAGTAGGACTGTGTGAAACGTCAGCGTTCCGTTTCGATCAGCATTTTGACATTTTGACAGAAGAGTGTTCCATTTTGAATTTTGTTTCTATTCGAACGGTTCTGCTGTTTCAATTCTTGTTTTGACATTTTGCCCATAGGATAAAATGGGGAAGGTTGAAATAGCCTTTAACTTTATCACTTCTGGCCGGATTTGCGTGAAACTTGCAGGAATGGTAGCCCTTTCTAAGGGCATGAAACCTGCCACGTTTCAAGGAGATGGATGCAGGGGGTTTGGGGAAGCTGCACCCCAAGGTCTTGAAAGCAATACTTGTCACGTGCACATGTTAAGACACAGCGGGGTCAAAACTGCAGGCATGCTAGCCCCTGTGAAGGCCACAAAGCGTGCCAAGTTTCAAAGAGATAGGTGCAAGGGTTTGGGGGAAACTGTACCTGAAGCTGTGTACAAGCAAAACTCATGACAAGGGTGATACTGTGTGTTAAGGTGCAGCAGGGTGAAAGCTGCAGGGATGGTAGCCCCTGCTGAGGCCATAAAGCCTGCAAGCTTTCAAAGAGATAGGTGCAGGGAGCTTCTGGGGGCCCTGCACCCCTAGCTGCTGACAGGCAAAACTCGTGACATAGGTGCTTGTGCAACTGCTGCCTCTCATCAGGCAGCAGGACTGAAGATCCCCCATCACTTGCCACCACAGACCTGGGGGTAATAATCAACCACAGTATGAACATGAGCCAGCAGTGCGATGCTGTAGCTAGCAGGGCCAACAGTACCCTGGTATGCATCAATTGATGCCTCTTCAGCAAAACCATTGCAAAGAAGTGATTTTCTTGCTCTACTTGGCATTGGTGAGACTGCAGCTAGAGTACTGCATCCAGTTCTGGGCTCTGCACTTTAAAAAGGACGTGGTAAAGCTTGAGAGAGTCCAGAGACCCATATAATCAGAGACTTGCACGGCAAGCCATATGAGGAAAGGCTGAGGGACCTGGGACTCTTCAGCCTGAAAAAGAGAAGGCTGAGAGGGGACTTGGTAGTAGCTTACCACTACATCAGAAGTGTACATCAAGGACTCGGTGAACAACTATTCACCAGGGAACCCTAGGGGAAAACTTGGAGTAATGGTCACAAACTCCTGGAAGACAGTTTCAGGCTCAATATTAGGAAAAACTACTTCACAACTAGGGTGTCCAGACTGTGGAATAAACTCCCTCCAGAGGTGATACGCTCACCTACCCTGGAAATGTTCAAGAGGAGACTAGATGGTCACCTTGCTGGGGTCACCTGACCCCCAGTTGTCTTTCCTGCTTGGTGCAGGGGGGCTGGATCCGATGATCTTCCAAGGGCCTTTCCGGCCTTACAATCTATGAGTGGCTGGAGCCTAAGTCTTAGGAGGTATGGCTTTGAAACAGTTCTCCCAGAACCAACCCCCCCTGCACCTATCTCCTTGACAGCTGGCAGGCTTTGTGGCTGCAGCAGGGCCTAGCAGCCAGGCCTGCAGTAGTGTCGTGTGTGCCGCCACCCCCCTTCCATGCCCCAAGACCAACACAGTTGCACAAGCACCCATGACACAAGTTTTGTCTGTCTGCAGCTAGACGTGCAGGGCCCCAGAACCCCTGCACCTATTTCCCTGGCAGCTGGCAGGCTTCGTGGCTGCAGCAGGGGGTAGCAGGGCCGCGGCGTTGCCTTAACACACACAGTGTCACCCATGTCACGAGTTTTGCTTGTCAGCAGCTTGAGGTGCAGTTTCCCCCAAACCCCCTGCACCTATCTCCTTGAAACCTGGCAGGCTTTGTGGCCTCTGCAGGGGCTAGCATGTCTGCAGTTTTGACCCTGCTGTGGCTTAACACATACAAGTGACATGAGTTTTGGTTTTAAGATTTGGGGTGCAGTTTCCCTGAACCCCCTGTGCCTATCTCCTTGAAACTTGGCAAGCTTCATGCCCTCAGAAGGGCTTACCATTCCTACAAGTTCCATCCAAATCAGGCCAGAAATGACGAAGTTATAGGCTATTTCAACCTTCCCCATTATAGCCTATGGGCGAAACATTTCAACTTGCCTCGTTTGGTTTTGAGGCCGTTTCGACTATATCTGTTCTGTTTCAATTTGCTGTTTTGACCTTGAAACAAAACTGGTGGCGAAATTTCACACAGCCCTAGTGGCTGGGTCCCTCCAACTTTTCCTATCCTCTCGCCTGCAGCTGGACTCCTATCTGCTCTCAATGTCCTACCAGGGACCACAGCTCTGGGCAGGTGACAACCAGGGGCTGCTCTATGTCTTTGAGAACCAGGGAGGCAGTTTCCAACACATCCGGGTGAGTGGCTGTGGGGAGGGTGAGGAAGGGACTCCTACTCTGGGGGGATGGATTCTGCCCCTCTTCCCCCCTCAGCCATGGTCTTGCCCCGGCTGGTTTAAAACCAGGGACACTACTGCTCTCCCCCCTGTAGGTGGTAGGAGGGAAGGGGGTTTATGTCAGTTTCATTGTCAAATTTACTTCCTTGACAACCCCCGCCACTGGAGGCTCTGGGCTCCCTGTGTTTGGAGTTGGAGGGGTGCTGGTGTGAGGGGGGCAGGAGGGTTGGTGTGTCTAGTGCAGGGTCATCCCTAGGGGGTGTGAATCGGGGCAACCACCCCGGGCCCTGCACTTTGGGGAGCCTCGTGCTTTGGGGGGGCCCCGTAGAGCCAGGTGGAGTGGCATGGCAACTCCGCACTGCCATTGGCTTCACTTCCAGCTGCTGGGCGGCCCTCCCTACCGAATCTGCCGCCAGCTTCCTTGCGTCCGGGGGCTGGGCCCCACACCCTGTTCAGATTGTCTCTGGTCTAGTGGTTGGGAGCTGGGGACCAGGGGGCCACATGTTCAAATCTGTGTGCTGCTTGGTGACTTCTGCTCCCATGGGCAGTGCAGATAAGTGCCCTGCTCTGCCCCCCACCCCCCACATGACATGTTTGGTAGCAAGAAACCTGGGTGTTTTGATTGTGGAAACCAGTTTCTGCAGCACACAGGTTTCCACAGTGACTGGGAGGGAATCTGAGACCCTCCCCCCCACGGCCAGTCAGTGTTCCCCAGACGGGTGCAGGTATCCGAAGGTGGGGCACAAACCTGTGAAGGGAAGGAAGAGGCCTGGGCAGTGGGGCAGGGAGCAGTAGGGCCATGGGAGCCCAAAAGCAAGGGCCAGGGTTGCCTTGAGGCTTATGCCCCCTCGTCACATTCCCCGCAGTACTTCAGCGTGGGCCACCGCTCCCAGATCACTGGAGTGCGGTATTCCCGGGGCACTTTGTATACAACCTCCACCGACAAGACCCTGCGGGTGAGTGCAGTGTGGCTGCTCCAGCTCTGCAACTGGCTGCATGCGTCTCTGCGTCTTGGTTTCTCCCCAGGGGTGCAGGGCTGTGGGGGGCCCTGTTCCATCTGCAGCTGACCATGAGGTAGGGGGCACAGAAGTCTCAGGCTGGGGGCGGGGACAGGGTGTCTGCAGGTCACAAACACCCTGGGTTCTGTGAGTTTGTGTTCATGTGAGTTTGCCAGTGGAGACAGGGCCCTGGGGCTCAAGCCTTGGAGCAGTGCCTGCCCCCTGCTCCAGGGCCGAGCTCCTACCCAGTCAACCAGGCAGTGAGGGGCTCCCCTGCCTCCCCCTGCTGGATAAACCTGTGAGCACTCTGTTATTCCAGATCCACATCCCAACAGATCCTCCACAAACAATCTGCTCCCAGACACACAACAATGTGCTCAATGAGGTAAGTCTGTCTGTCCCTCTATCCTCCATGCCTGGCTTCTGCCACTAGCCTTGTTCCCTCACCAGGGGGTTCCCCATCACCTTGGGCTTCCTTGAGGACAGCTAGCCTGGGGACATGGGCCACCATGCCCCCCCCCAACAACTCACCCACTCTGTCTTACTCTCCCTCCCACAGATCAGCGTCGAGGGCAACATGGTGGTAGCTGCCTCAGGGGGCCTGTCGGTGGAGGTCTGGCGCCTTGGAGGAACCTGACCTACCATGGAGCTGGAACTGGGCCCTGCCCCATGCTGCTTGGGTTGTCAGGGCTGCTGGGTTGGACAAGGCAGAGCAGGCCAGAATGGACATCACTGCCAGGAGCTGGTGGTTTTAAGAGAATTCATCACACAGGCACCCCCTATTTCCCCCCCCTTCCTCTATCCAGACCCCAAAAACCAGCTGGGGGGCTTTGGGCTGGGTTCTGCCAGGGCCCTCATTAAAAACTCCTGCCAAGCCGTGTTCACTACCTTTATTTTCACTCCAAGCCTGGACATAAGTGCCCAGACCCTACCAGGGTCCTGAGGAAGGAGGGAGGAGGACTGCAAGGGCCCCTCAGAGGATGGTACAGGGCTTCCTGTCCTTGAAGGGGTTGGTGGAGGCTGGTGAGCAGTGGGTCATGCTGGGCCTGCTCCTGGCAGCACAGCAGCAGGTCCCTGGCTGCCTCAGATATCTGTAGCGGGAAAACAGGAGCTGTGAACCAGAGGTGGGGGAGGGCTGAGGGCCTGGACACCTGGGATCTCTCTTTATTATAGGGGACATTAGAGGCACTGGGTGTTGCTGCTCCTTCCTCCTGAGAACCCAGGAGTCTGGCCTCTTACCACAACCCTCCCCCCCACACCCCTGTGCCATTAATCCTCCTCCCTTGGTGAAGAAGACATTGCTGCAGCAGCCTAGTTTGGGGTGGGTATAAATCTTGCCGCCCCCCCCCCCAGTGGCCCTTGCTCTCCACTAAATCAATTGCCTGCAACTAGAAGCCTTTTGCCTCTGTTCCTGCCTCTGCAGGGGATCCCCACAAAAGAGGCCTTTACTCCCATTAGGCACCTTTGATCTCTGGGTAAGGTTCCCCCTGTCCACCTAGCCATGTGACAAGTTTGTTAAGTCTCAGTCTGCCTTTTAGCTGTGGGGGGGAGCAGGCACTCCTCCATAAGAATCAGTGGTTCCAGGCTATACTGTGTCAGAGCTGAGGACTCAGGAATCCAGGGAGGGGGCAACATGTCACCTTCATCTTCTCCAGTCTGGCTACTGTGTCCAGCTGCTGCACTGTCTGTGGGCCTTTCCTGACCTGGCCACAGCCCCTTGCCTCCCCTGACATCTGTGGGCAGAGGGGGCTTGACATAAGAACAGTCTGGGGCTTCTTCTACCTCCCTCCAATTCTGTCCAAAACAGCCTGCCCCCCCACTCTATTCAGCCATGGCCTAGGGGAGATCCCAGATAGCGGGGCCCTGCCACTGAAATGTGGCCACCTCGGGTGGGGCACAGCAGAGGCAGGCATGTGCCCCCTTTTATGCTTTTGTCAGTCAGGGGGTGGCAGGAGCACACAAGCACTTGGCAAGCTCCCATCTTGCAGCCCCAGGTTCACTGGGGAGGCTAAAGCACAGGATGGGCTGTGTTGGGGCTGGAACCGCGGGGGTCCTTGCTTCCAGGCCAGTAGCGCTAGACCTGACTCCCTTCCCAGAGCCTGGAGAGAACTCAGGAGTCTTAGGTCCCCCTCAGGCTGGCTCTGAAGAGACCCACACTGCCTCCCTGTAAGGAGTGACCTAGAAACCTCTACTCGGAGACGATAAGAAGAAGAGAATGCTATGTGAAAAATGCCCATCTGCAATGATAAGGAGGAGACAGTCTCAGATAAAGGGGGCTTGAAAACAAAAGAAGAAACGGAGTACTGGGTTAAAGGGCTCATTAAAATACTAAAAATCACACCCCTAGGTGGGGAAAAAGTATGCTAATGAAACACACATGTATGTAAATGAGATACATGGCTAAAACACAGGTATAGAGACATGCTCAGTAAAGAACTTCTTGCCTCACTCACTTATAACCAATCATCGTTTGATGACTGGTTATAAGTTATAAGCACGCTTGCGAAGGCTTGAAAACTCCTGTATAAAAGATGCTTAGAAATAGTGATCTGGTGTGCTTGTTACGTGAATTATTCCGCTTGCACCTTTTATTGCTAGCAATAAACCTTCTTTGTACTTTCACCCCTGGTATCTTTATTGGCCTTTGCATACCGGGTACGATCCCAGACTTGAGCTGGGGCACAACATCCCCGCTCGTTTTGGCTCTCAGCTGCAGGCACAGGATCGTCGTGCTCTCTTGGGCGAGCTGCTCTGTGTCTGCTCAGAAACCCAGGCATCTGCTATAGTCCCTGGCGTCCCGGCCCCCTTAGGAGTTTGATGCTTTTGAAGCCTGCTGCGCCCTGCAACGGGCATGAGATCATGTTGGCACATGCAAATTTGTGGTGGGGGGGAGCGATTCAGGCTTGTTCTATTGAGCCGCACCCACCGGGGGGGGGGGTCGCGGCTCCCCTCCCGGGGGGGGGGGGGGCGGGTGGAGCAGAGGGGCAAACCATGGTTTGGCATTTGGATGCTGCTTCCCAGACGCCTCCGCTTTCACTGGGGAAGGGAACCCAAGCGTCCTGTCTCCCCGCACTGCAGCCGCTGCGCCGCAGTGAACTCGGCACACGGTTTGGGAAAGCAGACGAGATGACGTTTGAGCCTTCGAGGATTCCGTCTTCGCCTTGGGCTCGAAAATGGCGGCGCCCAGGAGTGTACGGCCGCAGGCAGGGCAAGATGGTGGCGCCTCGGCGTATGGCGCCTGGGTGTACGGACGCTCTTTCCTGCGCAGCCCTGCAGGACCCTGTGCGAATGCCGTAGCCGGCTCGGGGAAGATGATGGTACTTACGCATGCTGCACTGCGGAAGGATGGAAAGTCAAAATGGCGGCATCCAGCCGTACGGACACTCCGCACGGCAGCGCATGCGTGACCCCTGCGGGGCTGGCACGGAGCAAAATGGCGGCGCCCAGCTGTCCGGCAGTGCCACCTGTACGGGACTGAACCGAGATACGGGCCACGGGTCCGCCGAGGTACTCTGCGCTGCCTCTCGGGGGCTGGGCTTGTAGGAGCGGTGGGGGGAGCGCTGAGGGCGAGTAGTTGAGCGCTGGGGGGCAATGCAGGCGGCTGGGAGAGGGGGTAGTTGGGGGGGGCTGGGGGAAAGGGGGTGCCTGGGGCAGTAGTGCAGGGTGAGGCAGGCTTGTGAGGCTGAGGGTGCTTGGAGGACAGTTCAGGGGCAGTTTGGGGGCTGTGCACCCCTGATCTGTCTCCTTTCCCCAGGCCATGGAGGGGCTGCCAGCAGTGGCACTGACGGCGGTGCTGAAGCCCAGTGAGGCGCTGCCCCCTGAGAGCCTACCTGTGCGTGGCTACGATTTTGACCATGGCCTTGACCACCACGCCCTGCTCCGCTCCTTCCTCACCACAGGCTTCCAAGCCACCAGCTTTGGGCAAGCTGTGCGTGAGATCCACCGCATGGTGAGGGGGCCCCGGATGCCTGGGTTATGGTCCTCAGGTTGGGAAGGCAGAGAGGCCAGGTGAGGGTGGGGGGAAGGGTAGCAATTAGGACCAGCCCCCGGGGTTGGGAGGACAAAGAGGTTGGGGGGTTAGAGACGGTGGTGGAGGGGAGCCAGGAAGCCTGGGTTATCTTCCAGCTCTGGGAGGGGAGCAGGGGATGCTGGGAGCCAGGATATTGGGTTCTTTTCTCTGCCACTGCTGGTGGCAGGTTACTGGGGGGGCCTCAGGTTCCCTACAGCCAGCTCCTTCTTGGGGCAGGGATGAAGGCAGTTGGGGTAATAGGTTAAGTCCTGTCCCCCAAAAGCCAAGCTGACCGGGGTCTCTTGGGTGTCCAGATCGATGCCAAGCTGGAGCCACTGGGGGAGGTAGCAGAGGAGGAGAACCATGCAGACCTGAACCCCTGTCAGCGCCCACCCACGGGCTGCACCATCTTCCTGGGTTACACATCTAACCTCATCAGCTCTGGGATCCGCGAAACCATACGCTACCTGGTGCAGCACAACATGGTATGGCTCTGCATGCCCCTCACCCCATACAATACAGTCTATCCCCCTTTTTCCACAGTATGTGGTATAGCCCAGCGTTCCATTCTCTAAGGCACAATATGTGGTTCCGGCCCAATACCCTTCTTCAGTATAAAGTGGCATAGTCTTTCCCAGGGGTCAGTAACCCCAGGCACGTGTGCCAAACATGGCATACAAGGCCATTTTGCTTGGCACACCACCGCCAGCCCAGGCTCTAAGCAGCTGTTGCCAGGCACAGAGCCCAGACTGCTCCCAGCAGGTGGCTGAGAAGCTGCAAGCCCTGCTGCAAGCAGACCGGGCTCTGTGGGCCGGCTGCAGCTGGGAGGCTGCAACCAGCTGCTCTGGGTTCTGGCATGTCAGCACTCCGGTACCTTCCAAGGTAGATATTGTGGTTTTTTCAGCACTCTGGCCAAAAAACATTGTCTACCCCTGGTCTATCTGCTCCCCTCCCACAACATGGTGTGGTCCAGCTCTATCCATTCTTTAGCCTAACGTGGTATAGTCTAGCTCCCCCCACAACATGACTCAATTCCCTCCTCCCCTGCAGCAGTTCAAGCCATGGCCCAGCCCCCCATAGAGACAATATGGTATGGCCCAGTTCACTCCCTCCCACCTGCAGTACAGTGTGGTATAGTCCAGTTCCTCTCCCCCAGATTTGATCCCCACCCCCCAGCTTTGGGAATAACCCCAAAGACTTTAGAGAGGGGTCTCCCCCTATCCCAGCATAGGTGGAGGGGGCAGTGGCAGGAATCTCAGGGATTAGGGCTGGGGGCACCAGGGCCTGGGTTGATGGTGTGGGTGGGTGCAGGTGGACGTGCTGGTGACGACAGCAGGGGGCGTGGAGGAGGACCTCATCAAGTGCCTGGCGCCCACCTACATCGGGGACTTCAGCCTGCGTGGGAAAGAGCTTCGGCAGAGCGGGATCAACAGGTGGGGGGGGGCCTCTGGTAGATGGACGTTCTTCCTACTTCTGGAGAGGGGTGGGGTTTGGGGGGGATGGAGTAGATGGAACCTGGACACCTGGGTCCTCTGGGAGGGGAAGGGGATGGGTCTGGTGGGAGCCCAGATGCCTGGGTTCTCTCCACAGCTCTGAGGGATGGTGGGATTTAAGGGGCTTAGAGCAGAGGGAACCCAGACACTTGGGTTCTCTTCCTAGGTCAAGGTTGGGGAAGGGATCTGGCGGGTCAGAGCAGGAGGGGAGCGGATGCTCGGGGTCTCTAGCAAGGGAGGGAGGCAGGGAGCTGGGACATGTAGGTTCTCTGGCTGGACAGGGACTGAGCTGTGGCCATGTCCCTGCAGGATTGGGAACCTGCTGGTACCCAATGACAACTACTGCAAGTTTGAGGACTGGCTCATGCCCATCCTGGATCAGATGGTGGCTGAACAAGACACTGAGGTGTGAGGGCAGGGCCAGGACAGCTGGGTTCTCTCTGGGTGAGGAGGGGGACACCAGTAGTAGGAGCAGGATGCCTGGGTGTGGCTCGGGGAGGGGAGGGGAGTTGTGTGGGCTAGAGCTGGAGGGGGTTGGAAGCCCGGACACCTGGGTTCTCTCAGTGGGTTTCCCTGTCTGAGGACTCCTGGGAACTTCCCCCTCCCCACCAAGTGTCTGAGCCCTGGGGCAGCTGAGCTGGGGGGGCAGCCCCCCTGGTGACAGTGGGTGTGGCCATCTCCCACAGAGCATCAAGTGGACGCCATCCAAGATGATCGCGCGACTCGGCAAGGAGATCAACAACCCTGAGTCGGTCTATTACTGGGCCCAGAAGGTATGGAGGGGCGGCTGGGTTGGTAGGGAGAGCAGGGCAAAGTAGGGGAACATCCCCCACCCTGACAAGCAGCATGACTGAGCCCCACCAGGACTGGGCCCAGCCCTGCCCAGCTTTTGGGGGAGATAGGAGCCCAGGGTTAGAGGTTGACCTCTAACTCCCAGGCAGGGTTTGGGTTCAGCCTGGCTGCCAGGACTCCTGGATGTCCTTCCTGGCTTTTCCCTGGAATTGCTTCTTGTGCTGACACTGCGGGGCAAGGGGGTTCCCCCCCTCCAGCCCTGATGCCACCCCTCCCTCACCCCCAGAACAACATCCCAGTGCTGAGCCCGGCACTGACAGATGGCTCACTGGGAGACATGATCTTCTTCCACTCCTACAAGAAGCCAGGGCTGGTGCTGGACATCGTGGAAGGTGAGGCCAGGCCCCACAGGGCTGGGGGTGTAGGGGTGATCCTGCCCCCTATGGCTGCCTCCCCTCTAGCCTCCTGGGATATGGCAACCTCTCCTGGCAACATCTTGCCTGCTGCAGGGAGCTTGGATGCCTGGGTTCTTCCTGCTCTGGGAGGGGAGTAGGGCTGCCTGGGGTCCCCACGCCGACTGTCTCCTCTCCTCTCCTCTCTCTCTCCCTGGACAGACCTACGGCTCATTAATACCCAGGCTATGTTCGCCAAGAAGACGGGGATGATCATTCTGGGTGGGGGCCTGGTCAAACATCACATTGCCAATGCCAACCTCATGGTGAGAAGGAGTGGGGGAGAGAAGGTCCTGTTGTCCATGGTGATGGGGAGGTCACAGGGGCCTGTTAGGTTTGGGATGAACCCCCATCCCCTCCCTGCCTCTGGGGAGGTGACACCCTGCCCTTCCCCCTCCCCCAGCGCAACGGTGCTGACTTCTCGGTCTATGTGAACACGGCGCAGGAGTTTGATGGCTCTGACTCAGGTGCCCGTCCTGATGAAGCTGTCTCTTGGGGCAAGATCCGCACGGACGCCAAGCCAGTCAAGGTGGGTGGGTGGGGGGGCATAACAAGAGCCTGGGGGGTGGCAGTTGCACAGCACTCACCCCCTGCTTTGCAGGTCTACGCTGATGCCTCCCTGGTCTTCCCGCTGCTGGTGGCAGAGACCTTTGTGCCCAGAGCCAGCACCTTCACTTCTGACAAGCAGCATGACTGAGCCCTGCCAGAACTGGGCCCTGCCCTGCCCAGCTTTTGGGGGGACAGGAGCCCAGAGTTAGAGGCTGACCCCCCACCCCAAACTACCAGGCAGTGTTTGGGTTCAGCCTATCTGCCAGGATTCCTGGGTGCCCATCCTGGCTCTGCCCCAAGAGCCCCATGTGCTGGCACTGCAGAGCAGGGGGATTACCACTCGCCTGCCCTGCCCTCCCCTCCCCCCACCCTCTTTTCCCCACATACTCAGGTCTCATAGCTTCCCCTAAGCCTTTTTATTTATATCTTAGGCTAGGCTCCAACCAGCAGCTCAGCACCCCCCACTCCACCTCCAAGTCCTAGAGGTGGAGGGGCCCGGGCCCCTCATCCCCCCCCCCTGTGTTTCAAGAGAGAATACAAATGCAAGGAGGAAGGGGTTAAATCATGGATTCCTGACTCCTTCCCTGTGAAAATCCTCTGGGTGAGGGGAAGGGGGTAGCTCCTTGCATGGCCCCTGGTCTGTACCACCCACCTGGGAGACCCCCAATAAACCAACATGTTCATCTGCTATGTCTGTCCATCCATTAAGGGGGGGTGGGAGCAACCCCCCCACCTTCAGCCAAACACCTGGTCATCAAGGGCGAAGGCCTCTTCCCTCCAGAGCTGGATGCAGCCCCCAGTGGCTGTGAGCAGGCAGGAGGCAGCCGGGTGGAAAGAGAGTGACTGCACTGTGCCTCGTGCCACAGGCAGGCTCAGTGCCAGGGAGCCCTGCATAGTGGGGTGGGATACAGTGAGGGAGGGAGGCACATGGGTCTGCTACAGCACTTCCCCAGCCCTGTTCCCAGGGGGATCCCTGCCAGGGTTAAGTCTGTACCCAGCCATGCCTACTCCCTCTTACCTCAACTAGGTCCCAGAAACAGACCCTGCCATCCTCTGAGCAGCTGCCCACATGAGTGTCCTGGTCATTCAGGCAACAGTCCAGCTTACAGGCCTGGTTTTGGTGGCCTGTGTATCTGCAGCAGGGGGAGGGGGGTGTTGTTGGAGTGGGCAGTAGTGGGATTCCCTGCCTATCCCACCCCCTGGACCACATGGGTCACTCACTCTCCCAGCAGCTCTCCCGAGCCCTTGTCCAGTAAGCGCAGAGTAGAGTCGAGGCTTGCAGCCAGGGTGCACTGTCCATCCTTGCTGAAGCAGACGCTGGTCACAGGGCCTGGAGGAAAGTGGCGGGGTGGGGGAGACAAGGTGCTGGAGCCCCACATGCATCTAGTCATGCATCCCCCCCAACTCCTGCAGGAATAAGACTAGTGCCCTGTGGGGGGCACCCCCATTTCTCTGGGCCTGGATTACTCACTTCCAATGTAGTCAGAGTAGAGCTCCCCTGCTCGCAGGTCATAGCATCGGACGCGGCCATCCACAGAGCTTGGGGGAAAGCAAGGGGGTAGGCAAGTACAGAGTGACCTCCCCAACCCCACTCCTGCACTGCTAGAAGCAAGGGACTCTGCTCTGGCCTACAACAGCCCAGAAAGGACAGGCTGGAGATTGCCCTACAGTAGAACACCCCCCACCTTCGCTTTACCCTGTGAGGATCTCATGGTCAGAGATGCGAAGGCTGGAGACGCCATCCTTGGCCTCATCCAGCACCTGGATAGGGTCAGGGCGGCGGGAGCGGCAGTCCCAGCACCGTACAGTCGAGTCTATGGAGCCTATGGAGCAGGGGAAGAGTGGGGCTGGGAGCCTGCATCCAAGACTACAAGGGTGGAGGGATGGCTGGGAACCCTGAACCAGCCCTATGGTGGATCTGCTGGGGGGAGGGGGGCCAGTCTTTTACCTGATAGGATCACAGTGGCTTCTTCATTGAACTGCACACAGTTCACCTTCTGCAGTGGAAAAAACAGGGGAACTGGGGTTAGAAGCCTGCTCAGCACTACCCCCATGCTCCAAGTTTTACCCTCTGACCAGCCTACCCACTGTCCCCCCAAGTCTAGCCCCTGGAGGGCTAACAGAAGACCTCACCCCAGCATGGCCCCGGAACTTGCGAACCACCTGCCCCGTGGCCACATCCCAGAGGATCACGGTCTTGTCAGCCCCACAGGAGCACAGCTGGCTGTTGTCAAAGGAGCTGTAGGGAGAACCCAGGAGTCCAGGCTTTGCCCTCTGCTTCCACTTCTCAACCTTCAACTAGGTGCAACCCAGGTGTTCTGGCTACCAGCCCCCTCCAGTTCTGAACCATCGGCCCTTACTTCACCAGGGGTCCTATTCCCTGTAGAGAACAGCCAAGCCCCCTCCACTCCTTACCCAGCAGCATCCAGCACTTCGTAGCCATGGCCACTGTAGGTCTTCAGGACTGTGCCCTTGTGCGGGTTCCACAGCTTGAGAGACTTGTCGCTGCCGCAGGTGAGGCAATAATTTCCATCCACTGGGGGGAGAGGAAGGTGGGTAAAGGAGAGAAGGTGATGACCACTCAGGGCTGCTAAGCCCCCCCCCCCAAGCCCAGGCCATTTGCTGTTCCTCCCCAGCCACCAGCCCTGTGGAGGACAGAGGGAGCACTCACCATTGAACCTCACAGCTCTCACAGCACCCTGCTTGCACTCCAGGTTCTGCACCAGCTTCTTAGGCAGTTCAGGCTTCTCTGGCTTCGGCTCGGGAAAGGCCATGGTAGTGCAGGGCTGCCCCTACCTAGGGGGTTGTGGAGCACTGCAGACCCTTGGCAGGCCCCGGCTTTGTGGGGTGGGGCGTCTCCCTTGGGGCAGAGGGAGTGGTGAGGCTGCCTCAGCAAAAGAGACAGAGCCCCTTCCCTGGACCCAGGGGCTTGGGCTATAAAGGCCTCTAACACCGCCTCAGTCTCTGTAGAAACTCCTGGGCCCTTACAGCCTCATACAGCTTCCCCCAGGGCCTATACACAGACCCTATAGAGCCTCCCCTGGTACCTACAGCTTCCATACAGTCTCCTATGAGTCCTATATAGCTCCTGCACAGATCTCTGTAGTCTCCCCCATCCTGTATACAGCCCTTATGGCCTCCATATACCCTACCTCACTCCCTATAGCCACTATACCACCTTCCTTGGCCCCTGTACAGCTCCTATGGGTTCTATGCAGCCTCCCTTGTCCCCTATAGCCTCTAGACAGACTCCTTTCGGCCCTGCAGTCTCTGTACAGTCCCGTGTAGCCTCTGTAAGGCCTAGACCCCGCTCACCGGCTCCTACCTGGGAGGGAGGAGGGTGGGGTGCGTGGGCCCCAGGTCCCACTCCTATTGCTGTCCCCCCCCAGCCTCGCAGGTTCCGGCTCCCTTGGTTCCACCCGGCTCGCAGCGTCTTCCTGCTTCCCCTACCCTTAGGTCGCCTCCTCCTGCCCCGGAGCTACTCGCTCCGGGGGGTGGGGCATGCCCGGAACCCTGGTTGCGGGCGCGGGGGGGTACAGGCCCTTGTG